CCGTAGTGATACTGCCTCGGAAACCCAAGGAGGGGTCGCTATGAGTCGGGGCTGACTCGACGGCACATAACAACAACAACAACAACAAGACCTGCCATCCACCAAGTGCTCAATAAATGTTGTATTGCCATTATTACTACATGTTGATGACACCACTCGTCTGTCAGCTTGTATTTCAAATACCAACAGGGTTACCCATGGTGGACAAATCTCAAAGGAGCTTCACACAGAGACAGACTGGAAAGAAGGCTGTCCAGCTCTGAAAAATTGGACACTGAAAACCTTATGCATAGCAGTGAAACACTGAGTGATACACTACAGGAAGATGAACCCCTCAGGTTGGAAGGCACAAATACGACTGGGGAAGAGCTGACTTCTCAAAGGAGAGCTGACTTTAATGACACAAAAGGAATAAAGTTTTCTGGTACTTCGTTTGCTGATATGGCATGATCCAAAATGCAAACATCCATTAATAATTAGAATGTGGTATGTAGAAAGTATGAACCTAGGAAAATGGGAAGTTGTCAAAAATAAAATGGAACACATAAAGATTGATATCCTAGGCATTAGTGAACTAAAATCGACTGGTATTAGCCATTTTGAATGTGAAGTCATATGGTCTACATTGTGTTCTTTGTCAGAAGGAACATTTCAAGATTTATGCTGAAGTACAATGCTATTAGTGATAGGATAATATCTATACACCTATACGCCTACAAGACCAGTTAATACTGCAGTTATTAAAATTTACACACCAACTACTAAAGCCAAAAATAAAGAAATTGAAAATTTTTACTAACTTGCAGGCTGAAATTGACCAAATGTACAATCAAGATGTATTGATAATTACTAGTGATTAAAATGCAAAAGTTGGAAATGAAGAAGCATCAGTATATGGAAAATATGTCCTTGATGATAGAAATGACACCAGAGACCATGATAGAATTTTTCAAGATCAACAGCTTATTCATTGCAAATAGATCTTCAACAACATAAATGGTAACTGTATGCGTGGACCTTGCCACATGGAATACACAAATTGATACATCTGTGGAAAGAGGGGATGGAGAAGCTGAGTATCATCAGTCAGAACAAGGCCAGGAGCTAACTGTGGAACAGACCATCAATTGGTCATATGCAAGATCAAATTGAAGCTGAAGAATATTAAAACAACTCCACGAGAGCCAAAATCAACCTTGAATATATCCTACCTGAATTTAGAGATCATCTGAAGAATTAATTTGATGCATTATACACCAGTGACCGAAGACCAGATGAGTTGTGGGATGACATCAGGAACATCATACATGAAGAAAGCAAAAGGTCATTAAAAAGACAGTAAAGGAAGAAAAGATCAAAATAGATGTCAGGAAATGCCTGGAACTTTCTCTTGAATAGAGAATAGCTTGAATGAATGGAAGAAATGATGAAATAAAAGAGCTGAACAAAGGATTTCAAAGGGCAGCTCAAGAAGACAAAGCATTATAATGAAAGGCAAAAGACTTAGAGTTAGAAATCCAAAAGGGAAGGACATGCCCAGCGTTTCTCAAGCTGAAAAAACTGAAGAAAACCTTCAAGCCACGAGTTGCAATATTGAAGGAGTCTTTGGGCAAAATATTGAACAATGCAGGAGACATCAAAAGAAGATGGTAGGAATGCACAGAGTCACTGTACCAAAAAGAATTGTTCAGTGTTCAAACATTTCTGGAGGTAGTGTATGATCAAGAACCAATGGTATTGAAGGAAGAAGTCCAAGCTGCACTGAAGGAACTGGTGCAAAACAGGGCTGCAGGAACTGACACAATACCCATTAAGATGTTTGAACAAAAGAATGCAGTGCTGGAGACACTTACTTGTTTATGCCAAGAAATTTGAAAGACAGCTACCTGACCAACTGATTGGAAGAGATCCATATTTGTGCCCATTCCAAAGAAGGTCTATCCAACAGAATGTGGAAATTATCACACCATATCATTAATATCACATGCAAGTAAAATTTTGGTGAAGGTAATTCAAAAATTGTCACAGCAGTATATTGACAGCGAACTTCCAGAAATTCACACTCGATTCAGAAGAAGATGTGGAACGAGGGATAGCATTGCTGATGTCAGATGGCTCTTGGCTGCAAGCAAAGAATACCAG